CTCTCATATTCCACGATATTCGCTTTTCCACGATGATCGAACGAATTAATACAAACAAATTAATACAAATTATTCGCAATTAAGAAAATATCTGTGAGAGAGAAAAATTCTTAGAAAATTCGAACGCTTGGAAAGTTTGCTCGAATAAGAGATTTCTAAGAGCGGAAGAATCAATCGAAGGAAGAAATCTTCTCTAGGATCTCGTAACGCAACGTTATCATCGTTCGTAAATCGTAAAAAAATCTCTGGTCCATAAACTCGAGCGTCGTTTCCTTTTCATTCGAGATTGCATCGATCCCATCGGTGAAGACGTTTAAATACGACGTTCTCGAAAGACTCGCGCGACGAAAAGAAGAGAAAGTTGCGGACCGAGAGAAAGGGCTGAAAACGAGCGACCGGGGGTTGTTTCGTGACAGCGCGTTTCGCCCTATCCCGTTCCCCTTTTTCTTTTCCTTCCTTTTTTTCCTTTTTTCCTTTACTCTTCGCCGCGTACGAAGCTTTCGTACGGATCGGCGGCCATCGACGGAAGATCGTGCCCCCATAAAATTTCCGAGCAGTAGTAATCGAAAGGACCCTTCAGCCTAGGAACGAGCAGTTACCTGAGGCAGTTAAGTTAAATGCCTGTTAGCAGACGTTAACTGCTCGCCGCTATGGGTTCTATTCCGTGGACGATTGCAATTTTAATCGCCTCTTCATTATGATTAAATTTAAATCGGCTATGTGCAGGTCTAATAAAGCTCGTTCCGCGGCGGCCGCTCTGGAAACAGAAAATGTCTCCTGGGCGGATTAAAATACGCGTAATTAAAACCGTAAAGCGCCAATACGTGTCCCCGAAAATAGACTGTCGGCTTCGCGATAAATGTCCGGCTGAAAAAAGCTTTTTGTCTGAATGTGGGCATACGTGCGCGCGCGCGCGCGTGTACACACGATCACGCCATGTGGTGGACATACGTTCGTCGGTGGAACGGCGGATGATTGAGCTTTATTTGAACCATCGAGATCGGTTAATTAATATTCTAGATATGATTGACGGTAAGGAACGAAGCGTTTGTGCACACCTTTCTAAAATTGGGCATCGAAACGTGAGCCCTATCACGCGAAAATGCACGCGCGCGCGCGCGAGAGAGAGTGTACAAAAAAAAAAAAAGAGAGCCATTGACCCCTGGTCGCGAATCAGGGGAGGTTTCGAGAAGGGATGAAAAAAAAAAGCCCTTGGACGTTCCCGGTGGATGGTATTTTTTTTCGCGCATCCACGAGCACCGCGAAATTATTTATGGCCGTCGAATCGGCGTTTTGCCACGAATAATTTTCGAATATCGTCCAACTTTTGTTGGCGATGCGACATTTTTTTTTCTTTTTTTCCTTTTTTTTTTTTTTTTTTTGTTTTTTTGCTACACGAATCGCACACGCTAACGACCGACAATTTTATTATTTCGAATAATACTTGGAGAGAGAGTGATAAATTGGCCGCGACGACGGTAATTGACGAAGAACGAAAGGGCGAAATGAATAAAGAAATAGCCATTTTCTTTTCCATCCTTCCCTTTTGTTTTCCATCCCACGTTACGTGGAAACGTGGAAAATGTGGTTGGTAGAGCGTCGGTGTTATGGAACGGTGTTGCGTGAGAAGAAGAGCAAACGTACGAAAGGAAAATAAAATAAGCGCGTGAATGGAAAAAAAATAAAATATGCGCGTATAAGTAAGGATAAATAAAGAGGTTATTTATATTTTATTCGAAATGATAAAAATTGGTCTAATATGAAATTCATTATATCCATTACTACTAATTAAACCAAGTGAAAGGCCAGTGGAAGGGCGCTGTGAATTTTTTAACGATAAAGTTAGCGGGTTTTTGATTATTTTATTTCGGCTGATTGAGGTGAGGATTTTCATACGAGCCTGCCCCACCTTCATTAAATATCCGATTACCGCGATAAAAATTGCACGCCGATATTGTATCTGAGACGCGGGGCGGCCGCGTCTGATCATGGTCACGAGTTAAACGAGTACTACAATTGAAAACGTTATTACATTAAAGTGTAATTGAATGCCTCGCGCGCATAATTCCGGATTGGGTACGTGATGCCGCATCGAAGTAATTGTTGATTGTAAAGCAGTTCCGACGTTATCGTGCAAGCAATATAATAGTTGTTAATTAACAGCAATTAGAGACGGAGCGGCAATTACATCTCTTTTCAAGTAGTAATAAATTACAACAGATCGATAAATCGTAATATTTCATTACACTATTTCAAGTATTTTGTTGGTAATTAGAAATGCTTCCCGCGGCACTCTTCTCCGCTATCATCGCATTAAAATTGGCCGTTGGTTAATTTTTAGCTTGCGTACAACAACCGTTCTCCTGATCCGTTCCGCGTGGCCACGCAACTACCTTCGCACCACCCCCGGACTCTTTCCGCCCGATTAAAAAGTCTCGATTGTTCGCGCGGAAAATTCTACAAAACTTTATTAAGCGTAGTGTATTCTTTAGCCGATCTTGGTATCGCCGATTTAAAACATAATTTAATAGGTCTTCGCGTTCCTCGAATTTCGCGCGAATTGTTTAATTTATTATCGTTCTTCTTTCTTTCTTTCTTTCTTTTTATAGTTTTCGCAACTAATAAAACATTCTTTCGTTTTAACGAAATGGAATTCTTGCATTCCATTCAATTTTTGACAATTCAAATTGTAAAATATTTTCGTTTGTTCCCAATCGAGTTTATGAGATTATGCAATTTTCCTTTTTCTTTTTTTTCCTTTCTTAATCATTAATCGTCATTTGCATTAATCTTTCCAATAAATATTTAAAAATATAGAATATAGCACTACTAGTTATACCATCTTTTCGTAACATTTAAGCTCAACGATTCGTCGAAAAAGTTTGTCATTTCAATATCGCGACAGAGATTTAACTAAAATTCGTTTTAATAAAGCCGAGAATAGAATGAGCGAGCGGGCATCTCGCGATGCACAGGGTGCACAGGAGCCACGTGTGCACGCGGTACCGTCCGATACATGGACGGGGATGGCCCAGCCCTCGTAAAAACGTTGAGCTGCGGGTCGGCCATGGCGAGTCAAGAAATCTTTGATAGCGACGCTCGATAGTATAGCGACGCTGGGCGCCGGCGCCTTTCCCTAGCAGCCCCATTGGTGCCTGAGGCCCTCTCCACACGAGAGCCCGCCGCCAGGTTTCCTTGGAAACGCTTCGTTCGCTCTGATGTCTACCCTCGCCCACGGAAAACCTCTTTCAATTAGGCGCCCAGCCACCCCGAGCACCGACCATTCCAACTCTCTCTCTCTCTCTCTCT